TTCGATCCCCAGCATCCCATAGGGTCCCCTGAGCACCACCAGGAGTGATCCCTGAATGCAGAGCCAGGAGTCAGCCCTGAGCATCGCCAGGTGTGACACAAAACAAAACAAAAAACAGAAGTCCCAGGAGACAGGCTGGGGTACCATTTGCTTTTCCTCTGAGAATGTCAAGGACGCCTTGAGTGGTTAATGCAAATACACCTTGATAATTTGCTTTGGGGGGGGGGCGGCACACACCTGGTGATCAGGGATCTTTCTCAGAGGTGTTCACCCTGTGCAGTGCCGGAAATCCAAACTGGGTCTACGCCACGCCAGGCAGCCAGGCAAGCACCCCACCTGCTGTACCAAATCCCCAGCACCCTGCCTTGTCAAAGGTCACAGGAAGGGAAGGGGGAAACACCCGCCCCTCCCCCAACAACTAGGCCCAGACACGCCGGTGTCCCAGTGCACTGGGCAGCCCTGCTTATTGGCACACAGGGACACAGTCAGAACGGTGGCGAGTCACTCAAGGGCAGGGCCTTGGGTGCACCTGGACTGTGGAACCAGAATGGGCTCTGGCCCCACCCCACAGCCCAGCCTGAGGAGGAGCCCGTGGGCACTGTGATGTTTGTGTAAATGGAGTCAGACGGTGCGTACCTATGCAAGCCGGGAACTGCAAGGTCCAAAGCTGGGTGTGGAACTGCTTCACCCAGCACTGCTCACTTTTTTAATTTTTTTTAATTTTTTTACTTTTTGCTTTTTGGGTCACACCCGGCGATGCTCAGGGCTGACTCCTGGCTCTCCGCAATCAGGTATCACTCCTGGCAGTGCTTCTATGGGATGCTGGGAATCGAACCCGGATCGGCCGCATGCAAGGCAAACACTCTTCCTGGTGCTATCGCTCCAGCCCCCTTTTCAATTTTTTAATTTTTTTTTTGCTTTTTGGGTCACACCAGGCGATGCTCAGGGGTTCCTCCTGGCTCTTCACTCAGGAATTACTCCTGGCAGTGGTTGGAGGACCATATGGGATGCTGGGAATCGAACCTGGGCACAGTCGCGTGCAAGGCAAACGCCCTACCCACTGTGCTATCGCTCCAGCCCCCCCGCTTTTTAATTTTTTGCCTGAAAAAAATGTCGCACCATCTCCTGGATCCCGTGTCAGGGCATTTGTCTATGGGGTGCCCTCCCCTCCCCCCACCTCCCAACCCCCACCCCCACACACAACATCCTCTGTGCAATTGAGGAAGTGAAGATATTTTTGGTTTTGCTCCGGATGACATATTTGACCAAGCGCCTTCCTCTAGGCACTGCAACTCGGTTCGTGTTACCACTGAAATCTCTCTCGGTTTGGGCTCAGCAAACTCCCCCATTCCCTGCAGTTCACACACAACACCGGAGCAGCCAAGCAGTGAAAGTTCCAGTGCTTGGCCCCTGTCCAAACCACACCACGACCCCACAGAGGAGGGGGAGGGTGGGCTGAGCAGCATCTCTGGGTCCCTCGGAAACCTAAGTCTCTCCTGAACTCACCTGGAGTCACTTCCCCATGTGGGCTTGCTTTCAGGAAAGAGAAAGGACCTGGCTAGGAATTCCTACGCCGCCCCCATTCCCAGTGCTCTGCCTACACCTCCTTTCCCCCTCCAAATCCCGTTCCCGGGTGCTTTCTTCTCTGCCACCTTTGCATCCCAGGAAGCTCTGGGAAGGACAAATGAGGCCATGGCGAGCCTGCATTGTCTGCTCTCGATTCAAAACCAGCGTCTTCCAGGAGCACAGAACGTGTGTACCCAGATCACAGGGAGTGTGCCCTGCGGCGGGTCCTGCTCGGTGGCATTTTTGCTGCCTTCAGTATCTCTTTAAGATCCATCTGATGCTCAGAGAGCCTGCTCGGGATGGGAGATACGTGCTGAAAGTAGAATACAGACTGAATGATGGCCATTCGATACCTCTATTGCAAACCACAACACCCATAAGGAAAGAGATAGAGCAAAAGGGAATGCCCTGCCATAGAGGCGGGGCCGGGGAAGGATGGGGATGGGTGGGGAGGAAAACCGGGATCATTGGTGGTGGAGAATGGGCACTGGTGAAGGGATGGGTACTCGATCATTGTATGTCTGAAACATAAGCAGAAAAGTTTGTAAGTCTGAGGGGCCGAAGTGATAGCATAGCGGGTAGGGCATTTGCCTTGCACGCAGCCGACCTGGGTTCAATCCCTAGCATCCCATATGGTCCCCCAAGCATCGCCAGGAGTAATTCCTTAGTGCAGAGCCAGGAATAACCCCTGAGCATTGCTGGGTGTGACCCAAAAAGCAAAAAAAAAAAAAAAAGTTTGTAAGTCTGTAACTGTACCCCATGGTGATTCATTAAATTAAAAAAAAAGAAGAAGGAATAATAATCAGGTAATTAGGGAAATGAAATTAGGAAGATAAAAATATTAATGAAAGGTGTCCTTTTATAGCATCTTTAATGTGTATAAAATTTTTCACAAAATAAAGCAACTCTTAGACAAAAAAAGATCTGTCCGAGCCAAAGGCCTCCAAGATTTCAAACAGCTGCATCTGAACCCAGTCATCAAATAAGGGGCCCCAGATGAGTTTTGCATGCCCAAGGACCCAAGTTTAATCCCCAGGACCCCAGGACTGTTGGACGCAAACACAGAATCACCCAGCCCGGCTGGGAGGGGCTCCCCAGGTCCTCTCTGGGTACAGCCCAGTACCCACTTCCCAAACATAAAGTTTCACCTCCCTGTTCTGAGATATCGCAGACATTTCTATCTTGCAACTCCCAGTCCGGAATTCTGAGGTCCTGTTATCAGATAACATTCTCTGCCAACCCCCCGCAAACGCTTCTATCTGGGCTCCTGTGAATCTCACAGGAACAAGCAGGTCTTTGTGATCTCAGCGAGGGTTTTCCCCACGGTGCTTCTGAGTAAACCTTTGTCCTCAGAAGTCTCGGGCCCCAGGGGACGATCCTTACACCTCCCTGGCATATGTGGCATTAGAAAGCACCTGGTTTCTACTGGCACCAGATGGGCACCCCGGGAACTTTTCCAGCCCTGGCATTCAAAGTTCCCAGGGGCACCATCTGCCTGCTGGCCCGGTGGTACCCACAGTTTCAGAGGCTGTTTGGGGAGAGGAAAGTGGGGAAGCAGGAAGTTGGACTCCCTCTGGGACTGGCTGAGGGAGTTGGGGAGGTACCCCCAGTCCAACCTGTCCTTCCTTTCTTTCTTTCTTTCTTTCTTTCTTTCTTTCTTTCTTTCTTTTTTTTTTTGCACTTTTTGGGTCCCACCCGGCGATGTTCAGGACTGACTCCTGGCTCTGCACTCAGGGATCACTCCTGGCAGTGCCTGTGGGACCCTAGGGGATGCTGGGAATCGAACCCAGGTCGGCCGCGTGCAAGGCAAACGCCCTCCCTGCTGTGCTATCGCTCTAGCCCTCAACCTGTCATTTCTTCATGCACTTGCGGTACAAGCATGGGGGAGGAAGTAAACACCCCCACGTCCACGTTTCAGCCCCAAATGCTCTTCTGGGAGGTGGAGGGTCATTACGCCATGTTTCAGATGTCCCCCCATCCCGGTTTCCTAGAGACGAACAGGAGGGCCCCGCCCCTGAGCCCTGAGCTCCCAGACCCCCTACCAGCGCCCACCGCCCCCCAAAGCCATCTCAGGGCTCCTCAAACCAGGGCGTACACAACCCAAACATCTGTTCCCCATGCCATGGACCTGAGACCCCAGAACTGCCCACGCCCCAGCCCCCAACACCAGGGCAGCTTTTGAGCGACCCCCATCCCCCCACAGACCACACCCCCCAGTGAAAAATCCTCCTGAGGACCCGCTGGGTGACGCCGTTGGCTGGGGAGGAGACAGGCCCCCTGAAGTAGCCATCAGAGCTGGGGCACCCAGGCTCACCCTTCTGGGTGCATGTTGTGGGGGTCAGGGGGAAGTCCAAGAGTCCAGTTTAAACCTGACCCTCCAGACCAGGGTGCTGGGAAGACGTTGGGACTAACTTGGTGCCTATCGCATTGTTCCGGGTTGGTCAGGATTGGGGGGGCCACGCGGCTGTGCCCAGGGGCGACTCCTGGCTCTGTGCTCAGGGTTCACTCCTGGTGCTCAGGGAATCCTGCGGTGACAGGGAGGAAACACGGACTGCAAGGCCGGCTCTGCCACCCCAGAGCAAAATTCAGTACTGTGGCTGTTGGGTATTCACAGTAGTACATGCATCTGTCCGACTCAGCATCCATCCGTACTAGGGACCCAGACCGGCCCGGGGAGCAGAAGGGCTCCCCTCATCCCTGAAGAAGAGGTCCTTAAATATCTGATCCTTACATGTCTGATCCCTGGAGGGGTCCTCACGGGCCCAGAAGCCCCACGGTGGGGCTGGGGTGATAGTCCAGCGGGGGAGGGCGTTGGCCTGGCACGCGGCCGACCCGGGTTCGATTCCCAGCATCCCAGAGGGTCCCCTGCACACCGCCAGGAGTGATCCCTGAGCGCAGAGCCAGGAGGAACCCCCTGTGCATCGCCAGGTTCGATTCCCGGCATCCCACACCGGCCCCTGCGCACCGCCCGGAGTGATCCCTGAGCACAGCACCGGGAGGAACCCCCTGTGCATCGCCGGGTGTGACCCCAAAAGCAAAAAAAAAAAAAAACAGAAGCCCTACGGTGCCCCCACATACAGGAGTACTGCCCAGGCCTCTGGGCCTCCTCTGATCTGGGGCCTGCGAGCGTCCCAAGGTCTGGCCTGCGCGCTCCGCCCCAACGGGCCTGAGCTGGGGAACCAGGCGCGCGGGGTCCGGAGGCCTCGGCGGGGCCGCAAAACCGGGGGCGCGCGCGCCACGGCCCGGGGCAAGGAGGGGCGGGGCCGCTTTGTGGGCGGGGCCAGGGGCGGGGCCCGAGGAGCGCCCGCCTCCCTCCAGGCGGGGATTGGCTGGAGCGAGCCGGCGAGGGGGCGGGGCCGGCGGCGGCGCGCGCGGGCGGGGGCGTGGCCGCCGCGTTGGGGGCGTGCCGGGGGCGTGGCTCCGAGGCCCCGCCCCCCGGAGCCCGGGCGGAGGCTGGAGGTGCCGCGGCGGCCCGGGGCAGCGACTCGCCCGAAACTTGCGCGCGGTGCCGGGTTCCCCGAGGATGGGGAGGCGCGGCCGTTGCCCCGCGCTGTCGCCGTCGTCGTCGCTGCCGCCGCTGCCGCTGCTGCTGCTGCTGCTGCTGGCGTGGGGGGGACCCCGCGCCGGCGCCGCCCCGCGCGCCGCTCTCTACTCGCCCGGCGACCCCCTGACGCTGCTGCAGGCGAGCTCGGTGCGCGGCGCGGTGCTCGGTTCCCGGAGCGCCTGGGCCGTGGAGTTCTTCGCCTCCTGGTGTGGTCACTGCATCGCCTTCGCCCCGACCTGGAAGGCGCTGGCCAACGATGTCAAAGGTGAGCGCGGCGCCCCGCCCGCGGCGCCCGGCGCGCGCCCCCTCCCCCGCCACGCGCGCGCGCCTGGGGGGTGGGGTGCGGGCCGGGGGCGCCCCCGACGCTCCCCGGGACCGCCCGACCCGGCTGCCCCATCCGTTTCCTTCCCCCCGCTCCGCCTGCGAGGCGGTTTCCTGTCTGGTCGGTTCCAGATCTCGCCGGGCTTGGCTCAACTTCGGGCCCACGTCCTCCCGCGCCCTCCTCCGGGTCGGAACCGGCCGCGGTCCAGAGCCAGGGGGGCCCTCTCGGGCCGGGTCCTGAGACTGGCCACGGAGGAGGAACCGTATTTCCTGGCTTCCCAAGAGTCCAGTTCTGAGCCCGGCCCGGCCAGGGAGGAGCCGCAGGGGACAGGCCTTGAAGGGGACAGCTCCGTGCGCGGAGATGCCAGGGATGGTTCCATCCCGAAGATGCTCCGGGGCCAGAAACGTTAGCACTCAGAGCTGGGATGCCGGGGGGACCCGATGGATGGAAGTCCCCGTCATCGGTACCCACCCAGGGCTAACCGGGTCACCCCGTCCTAGTTAAGCTGAGCTACCTTTTCCACTGGGTGAAGGGTTTGCCCGCGGGTGGCAGGGGACCCAGACAGACTGGCATGTCTGTGTGTCTGGACTGCGGGGCGTCTTGGGTACCACTTTCTGCAGAGAGGAGAGCTGGGAAAGTGGGGGGCTCCCCGACCCTCCTGGGGGCAGGGGGCTGTGTCTGTCTTCTCCCGGGAAGTGTATTTTCAGGCACAACTGTCAGGGACCTCCAGGGACACGTGTCACGGTGCCTCTCCCATCCCATCCCATCACTGGACATGTCCTTGTCTGTCCATGCCCTATTGCGCTGAGCCCAACACGTGGACTTGAGCCCCCAGAAACACTGTGGAACAGAACTGGCTGGTCGGTGTTGGGGTTCCGGGCTGAACCTGCGCACCCCAAGATTTTCGAAGTCACCTCCCATTCGGAGGGTCTCAGCCTCCAGAAGGTTCCTCCAGAGTCCTAGGAAGGGATTAGCTTTCAGCTGACTCATGTGCCTGGCCTCTCTCGCAACCTGGAGTTTTCTCATGAATTACAAATCCCGAGGCTGACCCAACAGAAGAAGTGGAGGCAGGGTCTTGCCTCAGTGTCTTGCAAAGTCTGTGATGCAGGTCCCGCCCCCAGTGATCCGAGATGGGGGGGGTGTGGGGGGCATTAGTGGTCTCCAGTGAATTGGGATGGGGGGATTTGCTTTCTGTTTGTTTCTTTTTGTTCACTTTCTTTTCTTTTTTTATTTTGCTTTTTTTGGGTCACACCCGAAGATGCTCAGGCGTTCCTCCTGGCTCTGCACTCAGGAATCACTCCTGGTGGGGCTCGGGGGACCCTATGGGATGCCGAGGATCAAACTTGGGTTGGCTGCATGCAAGGCAAACACCCTCCCCGCTGTGCTATCACTCCAGCCCCTTGTTCACTTTCACAAATATATCTCTAGGGGGCTGGAATGATAGCACAGCGGGGAAGGCGTTTGCCTTGCATGTGGCTGACCCGGGTTCGATCCCCAGCATCCCATATGGTCCCTGGAGCACCGCCAGGAGTAATTCCCGAGTGCAGAGCCAGGAGTCACCCCTGTGCATCGCCAGTTGTGGCCCAAAAAGCAAAAAAAAAAAAAAAAACTAGATTTCTAGTTGGGAGGAGACATTGAGTGATTTTTTTTTCTGAAATGGGGGATGGTAAGCCAAATAAGTTTGGGAACCTCTGGTCTTAAAAGAAACCAAGTCAGGGGCCCCGAGCAATAGCACAGCAGGTTGGGTGTTGGCCTGCCACGCAGCCGACCCGGGTTCGATCCCCGGCATCCCATAGGGTCCCCCGAGCACCGCCAGGAGTAACTCCTGAGTGCAGAGCCAAGAGTAACCCCTGAGCATCGCCGGGTGTAACCCAAAAAGAGAAAGAAAGAAAGGAAGAGAGAAAGAAAGAAAGAATGAAAGAAGAAAGAAAAGGAAAGGTTGTTGGGTGGGGCAGGAGTGATAGCACAGCGGGGAGGGCATTTGCCTTGCACACACCAACCTGGGTTCGATCCCCGGCATCCCATAGGGTCCCCCGAGCACCGCCAGGGGTGATTCCTGAGTGCAGAGCCAGGAATCAGCCCTGAACATCGCCAGGCGTGACCGCTTCCCCCTCAAAAAAATACCCAAGAAAATCGGGCCCAAAGAGATAGTACAGCGGGGAGGGCGCTTGCCTTGCCTGCCGCCGACCTAAGTTTGATCCCGGGTTACCACCAGGAGTGATCCCTGAGCTCAGAGCCAGGAGTGAACGGTGTTGGGGGACCCTATGGGATGCTGGGGATCGAACCCGGGTCGGCTGCGTGCCAGACCAATGCCCTCCCCGCTGTGCTATGGCTCCAGCCCCGGGTTCGGTCATTTCTTCCTTGACTTTTGGGTTCTCTGGGCAAGGGGGTCCCGTGGTTCTCGAGAACTGGCTCATCCCCCTCTCGCCCAAAGCAGCAGTTCCCGACGCCGTAGATGTTTGGGGAAAGGATTATGTGTCTTTTGACACAGCTTTATTTGAAATAAATAAATAAATAAAAGACCGATCCAGCTCAGAAATCAAAACAGACAAACGGAAGCATCAGCGAGTGGGGAGATAGAGGTGGGAACTGAATGAGCCGTGAAGGTGAACCTGAACAGGAAGTTGATGTGGGCTCGGGCTGGAATCTGGGGTACTGGATTAGTGATGGAGGGTGCAGTTCCTGAGACCCTGTTTCTTGGCATAGAAGCTCTGGAGTGATATCTCAAGTCAGATGTTCCCTGGGAAAGTCTGGGTAGGGACCCCAAGGTGCCGTGAGGGGGCCTGTGAGGGATTCTGGGGGGGCCCAAAAGTAGTGGTCAGGGCTGCCCAGCCCAGACATGGGCTCGGTCATTTCTTTTTTTTTTTTTATGCTTTTTGGGTTCCACCCGGCGATGCTCAGGGCTGACTCCTGGCTCTGCACTCAGAAATCACTCCTGGTGGTGCTCGGGGGACCCTATGGGATGCCGGGGATTGAACCCAGGTCGGCCGCGTGCCAGACCAACGCCCTCCCCACTGTGCTTTGGCTCCAGCCCCGGGTTCGGTTATTTCTTCCTTGACTTTTGGGTTCTCTGGACAAGGGGTCCCGTGGTTCTCGGGAACTGGCTCATCCCCCTCTCGCCCAGAGCAGCAGTTCCTGACGCCGTGGATGTTTGGCGAAAGGATTATGTGTCTATTGACGTGGCTTTCCTCCAGGCTAGCTAATCAATGGGCAAATATTTGTTGTGTGACCTTGTGTGCCGGGTGCTGTTTGCCTTGTTCAGGGCGACATGGGCACCACAACACAAAGGGACCAGCCATGGTCTGTAGCCGTGTTTGGCCAAGGCCAGGGACCTGGTGCGGCCATTACTGTGGGCGTCCAAGGCCCAGAAGCCCACATCTGCCCCGTTCAAACTCTTATCGTGGCTGTCCAGGCCTGACGTTTGTCACTTTGCAGGCCACTATTCTGTAGAATCTGTGGAGAGGGGCCTGAGCGATAGCACAGCGGGGAGGGTGCTTGCCTGGCACGCGGCCGACCCGGGTTCGATCCCCAACATCCCATAGGGTCCTCCGAGCGCCGCCAGGAGTGATTCCTGAGTGCAGAGCCAGGAGTCAGCCCTGAGCATCGCCGGGTGGGACCCAAAAAGCCAGAAAAAAAAAACTGTAAAGAAAACAGCCCAACGATAAAGATTGTCTCTTTTTCAGTTATCTGCAGATAAGTTTCTCCGGCTCGAGATTACACAGCAGTGGGAGAAGGTTCGAGAACAATAGCTCGTGTGTGTGTGTGTGTGTGTGTGTGTGTGTGTGTGTGTGTGTGTGTGTTTTCTTTTTGGGTCCCACCCGGCAATGCACAGGGGTTCCTCCTGGCTCTGCACTCAGGAATTACTCCTGGTGGTGCTTGGGGGACCCTGTGGGATGCTGGGAATCGAACCCGGGTTGGCTGCGTGCAAGGCCAACGCCCTCCCCCTCTGTGCTATCGCTCCAGCCCCTCTTTTTTGTTTTTGAGCTCCAGGCTGACCCCTGGCTCTACGTTCAGGGATCACTCCCCGTGGGGAACTGTCTGGGATGCCGGGGATCCAACCCAGGCCAAGCTGTGTACAAGGCCAAAGCCTCCCTGCTGTCCTACGGCCCGGGCCCCTAGAATGTAGTTCTCTGCACACTCTCCCAGGTCTGAGCTGGGTGGGTGAGGGAGGAGGAGGGTGACGAAAAGACTAGGGGTACCTCCCTCCCCCTGTGTCCCCTCCGAGGTGCCTGAAACAGACCTGGAGGCCTTTGAATGCTCAGGGAGGCCAAGCGTGAGATTCTGGGGAGCCTGAGAGGGCCGAGGCCAGGCCTGACTCAGCCTTGGGGTGCCTGAGGTGTGAAGCTCGGAGGAAGTATTTGGTCCAGCCCGTGACCTCACGCCCAGAGGCCGCAGCCAGCAGGAAGGATGTGGGGTGTGGGTCAGGCACCCTGAGACTGGAGGATTTAGCCCAGGGAGTCCAATCCCTACCTGACCGGGTCTCCCCTTCCTGGTCTTATGTGCAAGGCAAACGCCCTCCCCGCTGTGCTATTGCTCCAGCCCCCCATTTTAATTTTTTAAAAAATATCTTGGGTTTTGGGTCACACCTGGTGATGCTCAGGGTTTACTCCTGGCTCTGCACTCAGGAATCACTCCTGGCGGTGCTTGGGGGACCCTATGGGATGCCAGGGATCGAACCCGGGTCAGTCGTGTGCAAGGCAAACGCCCTCCCCGCTGTGCTATTGCTCTGGCCTCATGTTTAATTTTTTTTTAATTTTTGGGTCACACCCAGAAATGCCTAGGGGTTCCTCCTGGCTCTGCACTCAGGAATCACTCCTGGCGGTGCTCAGGGGACCCTATGGGATGCCGGGGATCGAACCCAGGTCGGCCGCGTGCAAGGCAAACGCCCTCCCCACTGTGCTATCGCTCCTGCCCCCAGCCACTCCATTTTCTGCCCCTTCTGGTCTGCCCTAGGGTGACCAGACAGCTTGGGGCGGCCTTTACCTTGATACCCTGAGAAACATTCTACTCCCAGCCCCCCAGAGGAGCTGGGCCTCCTCCCCACGCCCCCCACATCTGGTGCCCCGGTAGCTGATGGAGCAGCTGGGGCAGGGTCCTGCGCCTCATCTGACCCCCAGAGAGGCTCAGATTGGGGTGACGGCCCCGAATCACCCCCTTGGGCCTTCACTGGCTGATGCTTGCGGGCCTGGGGACAAACTCAGGAGGGTCAGGGTCACCTCCAGCGGGGGCAGTCAGAGGAGTGTGTTGGGCAGAGCCAAGCTTGGGGGGGCCTGGGGAGGGCAGAGCTGGAGGGAGGCGCCCTGTCCCCCCTCGGAAGTGGGGTCAGGGCCAGAGCAATAGCACAGCGGGGAGGGCATTGGCCTGGCACGCAGCTGACCTGGGTTCGATCCCCGGCATCCCATAGGGTCCCCCGAGCACCGCCAGAAGTGATTCCTGAGTGCAGAGCCAGGAGGAACCCCTGAGCATAGCCGGGTGGGACCCAAAAAGCAAAAAAAAAAAAAGTGAGGACGCGGGGGTCATGGTCAGAGTGAGTGGTGGCATGTGGGTGTGTCGGTGGACCTGGTATCACCTGTAAGCCGTGGTGGGGGCAGTGAATGGCGCAGATCCTTAATGGTGGCAGCAGGGAAGCTTCTGGAAGCATCTAACCCCACTCTTTCTGACTTGGGTCTGTGGGATGGTGGTTTGGCGGAGGGGGGGGGTGGCTAGGGGTTCTCGAAGTGGTCGGGGAGGCCAGGAAACAGCCAAACAGCCCCCCTCTGTCCCCTGCCTTCCTAGTGACTTCCGACTCTGGGGACAAACCCCCATATGGGGTGACCAGAAACCCCAGTGTGAGCAGGAGGGGCCCCAGGGCCTGGACTTGGGGGTAAGGGGACTCGCTCTCCCCCTCCCCCCCCGGCTAGGGAAGGAACCACAGTGCAGGGGCCGGTGGGGGGGCGTTGGCTGAGACCCCCAGTTCACACCCATGGAAAAACTTCCGCTAAGCGCCCTTGGGTGGGTCGGGGCGGTCCGGCCTGTGAGGGGGTCCCTGCATGTGTCCCCGTCCCTGCTGAGGTCACTCAGTGTCCCCTCACCTGGTCACCATTGCCTGGGCATCGCCTGACCTTCCGCTGGGCAGTGTGACCTGCTGTGTGACTCGGGGGGTCCTCGCTGTGCCTGCGAGTGTCCACCTGGGAGTGAACTTGGGGGGCTGTGACCTTTTCCTCGCAACCTCAGGACGGGGGCCTCACCCCTGCCTCTGATTCTGGGCCTCAGTTCCAGGCTGGGGGACCCAGTTCCCCTGGGCTGGGCTGACGGCAGCACCTCGGACCCCCGACCCCTTCTGGAACTTTCCTCCCCGCAGATCCCGCTCACTGCCCCCCGCCAGTCCCTCCAACCCTCTGTGCACCCCGGCCCCTGGGTTAATGCGGGAGCCAGAGGCCACTCACAGGTGGGACACGGGCGTCACCAAGCTTGTTCTGTGTCCGGGTGCGAGGCCCGGGGCTGAGGACTCTGTCTGTCTGTCCTTCCAGGCTGGCGGCCGGCGCTGAACCTCGCAGCTCTCGACTGCGCCGACGAGACCAACAGTGACGTCTGTCGCAGCTTTAACATCCCCGGCTTCCCGACGGTCCGGGTGGGTGACGCGCTCGGGTGGACTGCAGGGTCACCCCCCTTCCTAGCCACAGTTTGGGGTCCCTGGAGCTGCCCCCGTCTCAAAGGCACCTGGTTTAGAAGCATCAAAGGAAGAGCATTTTATATTATTTTATTTTATTCGTTTTTTGCTTTTTGGGTTCCATTCGGCAATGCTCAGGGCTGACTCCCGGCTCTGGACTCAGGGATCACTCCTGGCGGTGCTCGGGGGACCCTAGGGGATGCCAGGGATCGAACCCAGGTCGGCCACATGCCAGGCAAACGCCCTCCCCGCTGTGCTGTCGCTCCGGCCCCAGAAATACCTTTGGTCTGGTGAATTCTCTTTTGGGGGGGTTTGTTGTTGTTTTCTGGGTTCACACCTGGCGGTGCTTGGAGACCACTACCCGGTGGACTCAGGCACCCCCCCCCCCAACCCAGGTCGACCTCAGGCAAGGTGAGCGCCTTCGCCCACTGTGTTATCTCTTTGGACCCGGGTCTGTAGTATTCTAACCCTCATAGGCCAGAGTGATAGAACCGCAGGGAGGGTGTTTGCCTTGCAATGTAGCTGGCCTGGGTTCGATCCCCGGCATCCCGTATAGACCCCCAGGCTTTGCCAGGAGTGATCCCTGAGCTCAGAGCCAGGAAGAAGCCCTGAGCATCGCCGGGTGTGGCCCCAAAACAAAAGGAGAGGGACTTTGTGTGTGTGTATGTGTGTGTGTGTGTGTGTGTGTGAACGTGAGCGCATATGTGCTTGCACGTGTGCTGGGGGCTGTGTGTATATGTACGTGTGTGTATATACGTGTATATATGCACATGTGTGGCCGGGCCCTGTGAATGCGTGTGTATATGTGTGTGTGTGCATGTGTGTGTGTGTATGTGCGTGAGCATATGCTGGGGGCTGTGTTTATATGTACCTGTGCGTGTGTACATGTATCTATGCACACGTGTGGTAGGACCCTATGTGTGCGTGTGTGTCTATGTGTGTGTTGTGTTGGCGTGTATGTATGTGTGTACGTGTGTGTACATGCGTACTTGCTGGGGCTGTGTCTATATGTACATGTGTGTATGTACATGTATATATGCATACATGTGGCAGGACCCTGTGTGTGCACGCGCGTGTGTGTATATATATGTGTGTGTATATATGTGTGCATGTGTGTGTGCGTATATATGTGTGTATGTGTGTGTGCGTGTGTGTATATATGTGTGTATATATGTGTGCGTGTGTGTGCATGTTATGTGTGTGTGTGTGTGTTGGGGTCTGTGTCAGGCTCATCCCAGACCTGGCCCGAGCCCAGACTTGGGGTCCCCTCTCCAGCCCCCTTTCTCTGCTGCCTCCCACGGGTCAGGGGGTCACAATATAAGTGCCACCCCCAGCTCAGCCCCAGCTTGGGGTCTCCTGGGCCAGGACCCCCAAATGCCCACCCGGGAGTGGCCCCCTCAAACCCGGGCCTCTGGGAGTGCTCCGCGGGCGGCCTGGGGCGACGGGATCCCCCGTCGGACTGTCACGCCAGCACGTGAGGCCCCGTCACCCCAGCTCAAGCATGGTGTGACGGGAGGCGGCCGGGCCACCGCAGCTTAATTAAGGCCTGGACCAAGGCCAAGGTCTCCGGAGGGGCCGGCGTGGCCGGGCGGCCTCTCCCCACCCCTGCATCCCGCTCGCTGCCCGTGGGCAGCTGGCAGAGAACCGGAAAGACTTGGATTTTCATTGTTTCGTTTTGTTTTGTTTTGTTGGGGCGCCACACCCAGCGATGCTCACGGGGCTGACTCCGGGCTCAGTGCTCAGGTATCACTCCCGGCGGTGCTCAGGGCTGACTCCTGGCTCTGCACTCGGGAATCACTCCTGACAGTGCTCAGGGGAACCAATGGGATGCCGGGGATCAAACTCGGGTCGGCCGCCTGCCAGGCCAGCGCCCTCCCTTGCTGCCCTGTCGTTCCGGGAAAGATATTTGAAAGATGAAAGTTAAACCTGGTCTCCAGGAGACAGTCAGAGGAACCTTGACCCCTGCCTGGGAAAACCCCTACTAGAAGCCAGGTCACGGCCCGTCCCGGATTGTCGGGGACACTGGCCCATAGCCCTCAAACCTCAGCGGGTTTGGGGAAGCAGGTGAGAACCACGGCTTTCCCGAGAAGCGGAACAAACGGGCCGGAATGGTGTCCCGGGAGGGACAGTCCAGGCCTGGCATGTGCCTGGCCCCGAGTCCACCCCCGATGCCCCCTGCCCTCAGTTCTTTGAGGATGGTCTGATGGCCACAATCCCCTTCTGGGCATGGCCGGTATTTTTATTTTAAAGATAGCTCAGCGGGGAGGGCGTTGGCCTGGCACGCGGCCGATCCGGGTTCAATCCCTGGCATCCCATAGGGTCCCCCGAGCACCAGGAGTGATTCCTGAGCACAGAGCCAGGAGTCAGAGCACAGAGCCAGGAGTCAGCCCTGAGCACCGCCAGGAGTGATTCCTGAGTGCTGAGCCAGGAGTCAGCCCTGAGCATTACCAGGTGGGACCCAAAAAGAAAAAAATAATAATAATAATAAGAGGCAGATGAGCCGCTACCGGGCCTGGAGGCAGGCACAAGGCTGGGTTCTGGGCCCCCAGGAGCCCGGGGTGGAGAAACGACTGCCAGCTCCCTGGGTGACGCCTGCAGCCGCCAACTCTTAAGCAATGCGCTGACAAGACAGGCCCGGCGCGGCCGTCCAGGGTGGGGAGGCCGGGGGAGTCCAGCTCAGCCTCTCTGCCTCCAGCCGGGCAGTCCAGGGTGATTCAGGCCCAGAGGCATCCGAGCTGCGTGTGCCAGGTGACCAGAGAGCACACGGGACAGGCCCCGTGTCTCCCCTCACCCGCCCCCACCCTGGCCCCGCCCCGGCTGCCCCGTCCAGGAGGCCCAGCCGGACAGGACGGCCCCGCCAGGCGCCCACGCCAGCGCCCCAGGCCGGCCCGGCCAGGAGAAAGCTGGACACCTGCCCACGCTGCCCACTCAGGCCCGGCGGGAGGAACGGGGTGCCCTGGCATCTGAGTCTTGTTTAAACGCGGCTGCTCCGGGCGCAGAAACGTGGGATCAAACCCGGGACCTCCCAGAAGCGAGGGCTCCCGCCCGGGGCTCCCTGCCCACACCCCCTCAGGAGGGATTCTGGGTATTTTACTGATCTGGGGGCCAGAGCCAAGGGCGAGGGAGGGGGCTGGGGAGGGGATGGGAAGGTTTTTTTTTTTTAACTAGAAAGTTAGAAAAGAACCGCTACCTTTTCTGTGGTTTTGTTTGCGGGGGACACAGTTGGCTGTGGTCAGGGCTGGCTCCTGGCTCTGCACTCAGGGGTCACCCCTGGTGGTGCTCGGGGGACCCTATGGGACACCGGGGATCGAACCCAGGTCGACCGCATGCCAGGCCAACGCCCTCCCCGCTGTGCTATGGCTTCATCTGCCTCTTGACTGCATCAGGAGCCGGGACGGGCCGGTGATGGCTGGCCGTGTGGGGGGAGGGGAGTCCCCAGGTCGAAGGTTTAGTCCCACAATGTCAGTGGGGGCGCTGGTACCCCCCACCCCCCTGGAGAGGCCCAGAGGGAAAAGATTATGGGAGCAGAGTGATAGTACAGTGGGGAGGGCATTGGACTTGCATGCAACTGACCCGGGTTCGATTCCCGGCATCCCATAGGGTCCCTGAGCACCGCTAGGAGTGATCCCTGAATGCAAAGCCGGGAGTCAGCCCTGAGCATTGCCGGGTGGGACCCCAAAAGGAAGGAAGGAAGGACGAGTCTAAAATCTTATCAGCCGAAGGCTGTGTGTTCACGGGCTCACTGGATGGCACTGTCTCGCCACCTGCGTTCGGTGCTCTTGAGCCGCTGTGTGTGGCCTGAATCGGAACGGCTGTTGGCCAAGGGCAGACGGAAGAAGAAACGAGGGCCAGGCCGGTCTATATCAATAGTAGTTTATTCCAATCCTCTTCACTCCTGTCTCTCTCTGCCTCCTTCTCTCCTGGGCCCCAGTCTTGGAACCTCTCTCCTTCTGGCTCTGACTCTGGATCTCTGGAGCCCGAGTTCTCTCGCTTCTGACTCCCCTCTCCGAGCTTACGTCTTAGTTTATATAACAGTCACATAAGGCGGTGACATAAAGGTGGGTTGAATACTGACGAATCAACAAAGAGAGGTAAGACCACTCCTCCAGGAGATTAACTCAAGGATAAAATCTCATCTACAGAGATTACTCCAGGTTACTAGGAGATCCGCTCAAGGGTGGGATCCCAACAAGCGTGTGTTCTTCCCTCAGTTAGTAATCTACTTAAATAGTTGTAATAAATCTACTTCTGATATTTCTAGCAATGTCATTCTGTATGAGCACAGTAAGAGATATAAATTTAGTTTGGTCCTTCCTGAGAACATCTCACTATACATTCCGCAGTCCTCAGGCCAGGTTGATCTTCCTAGCTACAGCAAGATCCTAGTCTCGTCGTTACTTACTTTTGGATCATGACAGCATTTGTCATGCCCTCAACTTATACTTGAGTATCGTGGCGCTTTGGCCTGGCCCATTTCGATGCCAGGGTAGCTCACTGCTTGCCCTGGGTTCATTCAGTCCCTCGTCGGGACCCTGCTTTTGGGGTGCTAGGAACTAAGGACAACTGAGTCAAGAAATCAGATGCCAAGGAGTAAATATTATTCGGAGTCAATCAACTCCCAAGTTACAAAGCATAATATTAACTGTCTTCCTGTGTCCACACAGAAAGGACATTGCTTACAATACAAGTTCAGTGTTCTTAGATGGGTGTGACCTGACAAACTTAAGCTAACTGAGGAAGGACAAAAGAGTGTTATCCTACAGAGGAGCGGGAAGGAAGGAGGGAGGGAGGGAGGGAGGGAGGGAGGGAGGGAGGGAGGGAGGGAGGGAGGAAGGAAGGAAGGAAGGAAGGAAGGAACTAATCAAAGTAAATCATACTCCATAAGGCAGTATTTGTTCTCAGGGCCAGAGACAGTGCAAGGGTCAGGGCTGACATGGCCTGGATCCCTAAGGGTCCCCTGATCACGCCCCAAAATAACCCCCAAGCACAGAGCCAGGACTCGTGCCCCCCCGAACACCTCCAGGTATGCCCCTCCCCCAGCAAACAACCCTGTTTATTCTTCCTAAGCAAAGTACACATCATTTTTGTGTGTATGTGTGTGGTTTTTTTAATGCCAGCTGATTCACTAAATTCATTTTACAGCTTAATTACGGGGTAGCTTTAGTGTTTGGAAAACAAATCCCCCATCTCCCGAGGGGGCCCGTGGCGGGTCTGGGGTGCCTCCCCCGCCCCCCCCCCAAAAAAAGCAAAGTGGCACCAGAGGGGACCAGCCCAGCCTCTCCGCTTGCTGCCACTGGTCGGTGCCGCGGGTGAGGCCGGAGCGCCAGCAGAACCAAGGGAGAGTGTCACCCAGACACACTCGGTGCCCCCTGACACCTGCCACCAGACAGCCGCCTCCACCAGTCCAGCCTGTTCAGCAAACAGGCCTCCCTGTAGGGTGTGTCTCACTGGAGCTGCCCGACTGGAAGCAAACACAAGGGTGGGGGAGGGAGCGATCAGTGAGCAGCAGATTCTAGAAGGTTCTGGAAGGATCTAGAAGCTGGAACTTCTGGGGATCTGTTTTGCGCTAGACCCCAGGAGTACCACTGGAAACAAACACAGGTGTGGGGGGAGGAGTGAGCATTGAACAGCGAGTTCTGGAAGGTTCTAGAAGGAACTAGTAGCTGGGATTTTTGGGGAGTTGCTTTGCCCTAGACCCCAGGGGTACCACTGGAAGCAAACACAGGTGTGGGAGGGGGCGACCAGTGAACAACAGGTTCTAGAAGGTTCTAGAAGAATCTAGAAGTTGGGGGGGCAGAAGATTTTGTCTTGAACCACAGGAGTATCACTGGACGCAAACACAGGTGTGGGGGAGGGAGTGATCTAGAAGCTGGAACTTCTGGGGAGCTGCCTTGTCCTAGACCCCAGGGGCACCACTAGAAGAAGACACAGATGTGGGGGAGGGAGTGATCACTGAACAGCATGTTCTAGAAGGATCTAGAAGGATCTAGAAGCTGCAACTTCTGGGGAGCTGTTTTGCCCTGGACGCCAGGGGCACCACTAGAAGCAAACACAGGTGTAGGGGGGAGGAGTGAGCGGTGAGCAGCAGGTTCTAGAAGGTTCTAGAAGCTGCAACTTCTGGGGGTCTTTGCCATGGACCCCAGGGGTGCCCCTCAGCGAGTCATGGCACCTAAGCCCTGCCAGGCCCCCCCAGACAGAGCATCGAGGCGGGAGACAACAGAAACGTCCCCTGTGGGCTGGGTTGTGAGGTAGTTTCGAACACTCACGCCTCTGCTGACTGACGGGGCGGTCACTCACGACGTCCAGGCCCCAGGCCTCAGTTTCCCTGTCTGTAAAATCGAGGCGATAATATCTGCTTAATAGGATTGTTGCCGTGCGCGCATGCTGGTGTGAAATGAGGGAGACGGGTGCTTGGCTGCGTGGTGGACACAAGGGGCACTGGGAACTGGCCAGCCGGCTGAGGGGTGGGGGTGGGGCCAGTTGCTCTCTCTGCACCGAGCACTTGTGGGGAAGGAACACCAGGAGGACTTCCTGGAAGAGGCGGACCCGAGCCGGGCAGGGTCAGGCCAGGAGAGCGGAGGCGCGTGGGCAGGGCAACGGCGAGGTCAAAGTCCGCTGTGGGTGGGAACCAAAGTCCCTGGATTCTATTTCCAGGCCGGGCCTTTGGGTCCCAGAGCTAGGGCGACATTCTCTAATGTGGGTGATTGGGAAGCAAAGAGAAAGAACTTTCTGGAAAAAAAGGGGGCGGGAGGGGGGTGCCTGTGAGCCGTCGAACTGGTTGGGCTTGTGGGTCGGTCGCTGTGGGGTTCCACGTTTGCAGCCAAATCAGCTTTCATCTTGTTTTTAAAAGCGTGGTCCCCGTGTGGCCACGGCCGGCCCTGGGGAAGAGGCCTCTTTGCCTCATAGGTTTGCTATTTGGTCCGGGGGTTGGGTCTGGAGCCATAGCACAGCGGGGAAGGCATTGGCCTGGCACGCGGCCGACCCGGGTTCGATCCCCGGCATCCCACCGGGTCCCCCGAGCCCTGCCAGGAGTGAGTCCTGAGTACAGAGCTGGGAGTCAGCCCTGAGCATTGCCGGGTGTGGCCCCCAAACAGAAAACAAAACAAAATTAATTTAAAAAAAAATTAAGATGTGGGGCTGGAGAGGTAGCACAGCGGGTAGGGCGTTTGCCTTGCATGCGGCCGACCCAGGTTCGATCCCCGGCATCCCATATGGTCCCCTGAGCACCGCCAGGAGTGATTCCTGAGTGCAGAGCCAGGAGTCAGCCCTGTGCATCGCCGGGTGTGACCCAAAAAGCAAAAAAAATAAATAAATAAAAGTAACAAAATTTAAAAAAAATTAAGATGAGGGACCGGAGTGATAGCACAGCGGGGAGAGCGTTTGCCTTGCCTGCGGCTGACCCGGGTTCAATTCCCAGCATCTCATAGGATCCCCTGAGCACTGCCTGGAGTGATTCCTGAGTGCAGAGCCAGGAGTCAGCTCTGAGCATCACCGGGTGTGACCCCCAAAGCAAAAACAATAATAATAATGGGGGGTGTTTTTTAGGGTATTTTTCGTGCTCAGGGCTTCCTCCTGGCTTTGTCCTCAGTAATCACTCCTGACCAGACTTGGGGGGCCCTGTGTGTGGTGCCAGGGGTCTATCCTGGGTCAGCCACATGCCAAGTTTCAACCCCCGCCCTATCCCCCTGCCCTGAGTAACATATTTTGTTATTCGAGGTGGAAACCGTCCTATGTCATTAGCTCTGGTTTGGGGCCGGAGCGATAGTCCAGCGGGAAGGGCGTTTGCCTGGCACCCGGCTGACCCGGGTTCGATTCCCGGCATCCCCTAGGGTCCCCCGAGCACCGCCAGAAGTGATTCCTGAGCACAGAGCCAGGAGTCAGCTCTGAGCATCGCCAGGTGTGACCCCTCCCCCCCATAAAGTCAGCTCTGAGCCTCAGAGGAACTTCCCAGAATGTGTTTCATTTTCCTGTCCCCTAGAGGATAAGAAGGGGAATCCCCAGATCTCGACACCCCTAATTGAATGAAGCCACTTATCAAGGGGACATGGGTTCCTCATTTTGCTCACCGGAAGCAGCTTCCCTTGACCCGTTGACAGCATCTGACCCCGGACACTTGGAGAGATGCTAAGAGTCTTTATTTCGGGGGGCCCTGAGGGGAGGGGAAGGCAGAGGCTGGGTGCTATCTGCTCCCCCAGAGGAAAAACCTGCTGGTCTTTCCTTCATAAGGTTTTTATTTTTGTTTTTGTTTTTTTGCTTTTTGGGTCCCACCCAGAGATGCTCAGGGCTGACTCCTGTCTCTGCATTCAGGAATCCCTCCTGGCGGTGCTCGGGGGACCCTAGGGGATGCTGGGAATCGAACCCGGGTCAGCCGCATGCCAGGCAAACGCCCTCCCCTCTGTGCTATTGCTCCGGCCCCATAAGTTAAGTTTTTTGGGGTCCCACCTGCTGGGACCGTTCTCATCTCTGCTTAGGGGTCCCTGTGACGTGAAGGACCCGCACCTGGGCTGAGGTGCTTGCAAAGCGAGTAGCAGTGGCGTCCCCGCTGGGCCACGTCCCCAGCCCTCGCTGGAGTCTTAATGGCCTGTTCCCAGGAGCCCTGGGGCACCCTTGGGCAGGGCGCATGCCACCTCGGCCCTTTAATAAGGGACAAAAAATGTGCCCCGGCAAGCCTTGAGAGTGTTTTTCACAAGGGCTTCCCAGACGGGCGATCAAAGGACGCGGATTCTCCCAGGTGCCCTTCCGTGCGCCCGACCGGGGCCAGACTCCACGGGGGCCGGAGGGAACGGCCGGGTGGGCCCGTGGCAGGGGCCAGACTGGCCCGAAGCCCATTGGCCAGTGCTGATCCCTGAAGGTTGGGCAGGGGGGGCGGGATCGGAGCAGAGCTGTGCTTTTTTTTTGGGGGGGGGGCGTGGAGGTTGGAGGCATGAGCTCAGGTGACAGCTCTCCCCGCAGGGCTGTCACCTGTGTTGAGGGGGAGCAGGGCTGTCACTGTGTCCGGGATGAGGCTGTAGGGGAGCAGGGCTGTCACCATCACTGTCACCGGAGATAAGGGGCCAGGAGGGAAACAGGTCTGGGGATGGTGAGTCAGCGGTGGGGAATGTGGGGGGCGGAGCCGCGTGGGGGGGCCCAGGAGGGAACTGGCGCTGAGCCCCAGGCCGCAGCCCAGGCTGTGCACAGAGCCAGTGAGCGGACCCGAGGACAGCTCAGGGCCCTTCATTCATTCATTCACTCATCCTCTTGTTCACTCTCACTCACTCTCTCATTCATTCACTTCATTGTTTGGATCCTGCAGTCCTCGGGAGCTGCACCTGGCTCTGTGTTCACAGGGGTCGCTCCCAGTGCTCAGGGGGCCCATGCGGTGTTGGGGATCGAACCCAGAGCCCCACACGCGAGGCCTGTGCTTGGCCTGCGAAGCTGTCTGAGACGCTGACCTCCTCAGAGCCCAGGCAGCGTCTGGCTGGGCCGGGCCACCCCCGAAACGAGGGGAGAAGGCCACGCGAGGAGCACACTGACTTCCTGCCAACACAACTCGTTTCTCTGGGAGCCCCCAGAGGGCCAGGCTGGGGGTTCTGGGTGTCAGGGACCCCTCTAAGGACCTTGAGGGCGCAGGAGAGAGCGATTCCCAGGCGGCCTCATTCCCTCTGTAACCGGTCCCAGGGTCCAGGTGTAGCACTTGGAAGTTTCCTTCTAGAAGGAAACTTCCCTCCCCCAACACACAACACACTGTCCCCCTCACTGCTGGGGCTGTTTGGGGGGTCACTGAGGCTCCCACAGTTAGGCCCGAGGCTCAGTGTCTGCATCCAGGGAGTGATCCCGGTACTGACGAGGTGTCTTTGCCCCCAGTTCTTCAAGGCCTTCACCAAGGAAGGTTCCGGAACAACACTGCCAGGTAGGTCGCTGTGAGCCTCCCCTGGGGGTCCCCATGCCCCAGGTTTTAGGGGTGATACAGGAACCACCACCCTGACCAATGGCCCCGCCCAGCCTCCCAGACATGACCCTCTGGGACAGGCCCACCCTGGGCCTTTGGGAGGTGACCGGGAAGGGGACCCTTGGGCCCAGCCCCACGTGGACAGAGGGGGCTCCTCTTCCCTCCCGACGGCCCCCTGTGCCTGTCTTGACCCGCAGTGGGGGGCGCGGACGTACAGACCCTGCGGGAGAGACTCATCGACGCACTGGAGTCCCACACGGACACCTGGCCCTCCGCCTGTCCCCCGCTGGGGCCCACCAGGTACCAGGACGGGCAGCAGTGGGGGAGGGATGACCCGGGTTCGATCCCCGGCATCCCCTAGGGTCCCCCGAGCACCGCCAGGAGTGATTCCTGAGTGCAGAGCCAGGAGTCAGCCCTGAGTATCGCTGGGTGGGACCCAAAAAGAAAAAAAAAAGAGGTGCTGGCTCGTCTCTGTCAAGGAAACTGGGGATCCAGCCACCCCCCACTCACGGGCTAAGGTTCTGGGTCTCCAGGTGGCTGGTCTGTGTGGCCGTCCTCACGGCACGGGGCCTGCCACCCGGTGCCACCCGCCCCGTCCTCTTACAGGCTACCGGAAATCGACAACTTCTTCGCCCGCAACAACCAGGAGTACCTGGCCGTGATCTTTGAAAAGGAGGGATCCTACCTGGGCAGAGAGGTGAGTCTCCCCCACCCCGCACCCCAGTTCCAGAATGTTCCAGGGAGGCAGCCCCGGGCCTGTCTCAGTCCTGGCCTGGAGGGGGCACTGGGCAGTGGGGAACTGTCGGAGGTGAGTGGGAGCGTGGTTGGGACCCCCGCAGGGGGTCATCAGAGATGCTCGGGCCCCTGGCAGGGAGCAGAGACCCCAGGACGGGCGGGCTAAACCTCTTATGATTTTATTTGGGGGCCACACCTAGCGGTGCTTAGGGCCTCCTCCTGGCTCTGCACTCCGGGATTGCTCAGCAGGGGAGCTCAGGAGACCTTTGGGGTTCCCGGGATCGAATCCGGGACAGCTGCATGCCAGGCAAGAGCCTTACCTGCTGTGCTATCACACTGGTCCCCCCCACCCCCACCCTGATCCCTTCTCGGCCTTTGGAGGAAGATAATCGACTTCCTGCAGAGCCTGGTAGCAGAGGGGCCGGAAGGATGGCACAGTGGTCAGTGCAGGCGTTGCGCGCGGCGGGAGCACCCCCTCCCCTGGGTTCCTCCCTGCCTCCACCAAAAGACAAAGGAGAGAAAATTCTGTCCCAAGGGCCCCCGAGCACGTCTCGGGGTCCCCAGCACCCCCCCCGCTGTCCCCGCAGGTCATCCTGGACCTGTCGCAGCACCCCGGCTTGGCCGTGCGCCGGGTGCTCAGCACCGAGACCGACGCCGTGGGCAGGTTCGGGGTCACCGACTTCCCGTCGTGCTACCTGCTCTTCCGGAACGGCTCCGTGTCGCGGGTCCCCGTGTGAGTGTCCCGCGTCGCCCACCCCCGCCCCCCGCGGGCGGCCCCAGCTCGGGAGGGTCCCGGGGCGGGAAGCGGCACCAGATGGGGCCTCGGTGCCCCCGGAGGTCCTGCCAGCCCGAGCTCCCTGGCCGAAGTGCCCAGGAGGCCGCCCTGGCCCGGATGGGCACAGTGACCGCCCGGCCCGGGGCAGCGAGCCTGCAGGTCTGGGCGGGGCCTGCGATGTGGGCGGGGCCTGTGATGTGGGCGGGGCCTGTGGGCGGGGCTTGGGCGGGGCCTGGGACTGGGCGGGGTGGGGGCGGGGAGAGGGATCTAGGCGTGGGGGGGCGGGGGGCCCTGGGCGGGGCCTGGGCGGAGGTGGGGGGGTTCTGGGCCGGGATCTGGGCGGGGATGGTGGGTTCTGGGCGGGGGTCTGGGTGAGTCTGAGAGGAGTCTGGGCGGGGGTCTGGGCTGGGCTGGGGGGTTCTGGGCAGGGGGATCTGGGCGGTGGTCTGTGTGGGGGTTTGGGTGGAGGGGTCTGGGCGGGGGTCTGGGTGGAGGGATCTGGGCGGGGCCTGGATGATGGGCGGGGCCTTGAGATGGGCGGGGCCTGGGCAGGGGGCTTGGGCGAGTGGTCTAGGAGGGGGTCTGCGCGGGGGGGGGCCTGGGCGGGGCCTGGGCGGGGCCTGGGTGAGGTGTCTAGGCGGGGGTCTGGGCGGGGGCCTGGGCGGGGCCTGGGTGGAGGTGGGGGGGCTCTGGGCGGGCGTCTGGGGGAGTCTGAGAGGAGTCTGGGCGGGGGTCTGGGCTGGGGGCCTGTGCGTGGATGGGGGGTCTGGGCGGGATCTGGGTGGAGGGGTCTGGGCGGGGTTCTGGGTGGAGGCGTCAGGGCGGGGGTCTGGGCGGGGTGCCTGGTACCGGACAGGGCACATTGTTCCCGCCGCTTGGAGCTGATCGAGGGGAAAATTGTGACCACGCTGCCCAGCCACCTGCCACCCCACATGGCAGCCAGATGCAAATTGACGCTTCCAGGCATTCCCTGGGGTGCCCTTGCCCCCACCAAGGGGAGAGCACAGTGGGTGAGGAGGAGTGGAAGCTGGGAGCACTGGCTGGGAGCATCAGGCTTGCTCCCTCTCACCACCATCCCCCCAAAAAACAAAGATGAGCACTGGAAGAGAGAGTCCAGCAGGGAGGGCTGTGCCTCGCACGTGGCTGAACCCCAGCCCGAGCCCCGCGGGGGGGCATGCCCTGGGCACCCCCAAATAAAAGAAAGCCAAGAGACAACGAACGGAAAAGCCCAAAGCTGGGGCTGAAGCAAGAGCACAGTGGGGAGGGCGCTGGCCTTGCACATGGCAGACCCGGGTTCGATTCCCAGCATCCCAGAGGGTCCCCCAAGCCCTGCCAGGAGTGATCCCTGAGTGCAGAGCCAGGAGTCAGCCCTGAGCATCACCGGGTGGGACCCAAAACGCCAAAATAATAATAATAAGAAGAAGAGTCATGGGACTGGACAGATAGCACAGCGGGGAGGGCATTGGCCTGGCATGAGGCTGACCCGGGTTCGATCCCCGGCATCCCCTACGGTCCCCTGAGCACCGCCAGGAGTGATCCCTGAGTGCAGAGCCAGGAGTCAGCCCTGAGCATCACTGGGTGGGACCCAAAAAGAAAAAAACAGGAAAAAAAAAGCCCAAAACTGAGAGGACAGGAGAGGTGGTTGGGGGGGATGGGCGGTTTGGGGGCACCTTGAGGTCATCTCGGTCTGCAGGTCCTGGGAGAAGTGACCCCACCCCGCCCTCTGTCAGGCTACCACTGGGTATCTAATCCTTGCGCCTTGGGTCTCGGGGGGCACGGGCCATCCCCCCTACCCCCGCCCTTTTATCCTTCCTTTGGCTGAGTGTGCCCAGCGGCCGTCCTGCCAGGACAGCAGAGGCTGAAGGCCCTGGGCACCCCTCCCTGGGCGTCACAACCACCCAGCCAGCTCCAGTCAAGTTCAGCATCTCCCTGAACCCCCTTCCTCCCACCGGCAGCCCCCCCACCCCCGGGTCCAGCTCACTCCCTCCCTGTGTCTCTTCTCTCCCTCTCTCAGGCTGGTGGAGTCCAGATCCTTCTACACCAACTACCTGCAGAGGTTCTCCGGGGGGCCCCGGCTGGCGCCCACCACCGTGGCCCCCGCCACGCCGGGCACTGTGGCCCCCACAGTGTGGAAAGTCATAGACCGGTAGGGCGGGGTCTGACGCTTTCTCTTCACCCATCTCCTGCTGGTGGCATCAGCATGTGGCATCCCGGACCTGGAGCCTTTGGTGGGGGGCGCCCAGCTCCCCCCCAGAAAAACTGGCCCCAGACTACAGGGCTGTCCCCGCGGGCGTGGGTCAGGCCGGGCACCGAGCTGGGGACCTGCTGACCCAGCCCTGAGTGGGCGGCCAGAAGGCGGTGTCCACCAGGGGGCGCCCGAGAGGCAGCGGTCAAGGGCACGGCCCTGCAAGGCGGTTCTTAGCCACTGGCCAGGGCACGGGGGTCCCCCAAACGGGGCTGGGTTTCCAGAGCCCCCCGGCAGAGGAGCGGGGTCTCCCTGAGGCAGATCTCAAAGTCCAGGCTTGGTACACTTGACCGTGGGGGTCTGGCCCTATGGCAGGGCACCCCCCACTCTGCAGAGACCTGGGGCAGTTTTCACTTCCTCCTGCTTCCCAAGGCGGCCCTGAGGCTCAGGGAAGTGGTGATTTAGCCAGGGCCTGGGGCTAGAGCCATGGCACAACGGGGAGGACGTTGACCTTGCACGCGGCCAACCTGGGTTCGATAACCAGCATCCCATAGGGTCCCCCGAGCACCGCCAGGCGTGATTCCTGAGTGCAGAGCCAGGAGTCAGCCCTGAGCATCTCTGGGTTGGGGGGGGGGGGGCGGTCAAAAAGTCAAATAATAAAAATAATAAAGTCAAATAATAGGGCCTGGAGCAATAGCACAGCGGGGAGGACGTTTGCCTTGCACAGGGCCGACCCGGGTTTGATTCCCAGAATCCCATGGGGTCCCCTGAGCACCGCCAGGAGTGATTCCTGAATGCAAAGCCAGGAGTAACCCCTGAGCATCGCTGGGTGCCACCCAAAAAGAAAAATAAAAGTCTAATAATAATAGAAAGAAAGGGGGCTGGAGCGATAGCACAGCGGGGAGGGCGTTTGCCTGGCACGCGGCTGACCCGGGTTTGATCCCCGGCATCCCCTAGGGTCCTCCAAGCACTGCCAGGAGTGATCCCTGAATGCAGAGCCAGAAGTCAGCCCTGAGCATCGCCGGGTGGGACCCAAAAAGCAAAAGAGAGAAAGAGAGAGAGAGAGAGAGAGAGAGAGAAAGAGAGAGACTTTGTGATGTAGCCAGGGGTCCACACAGCAGCCGGGGGGCCATCTGACCTGGTACTGTGCCACACTGCAACCTCCCTCTCTCTCTCTCCGGGCCCCTCCCCTGCCTCCCGGGTAACTTCTTTTCTCTCTCTGTGCCCCGCCTGGGTTCTCAGCTCCAAGATCTACATGGCGGACCTGGAATCAGCACTCCACTACATTCTGCGCGTGGAAGTGGGCAAATTCTCCGTCCTGGAGGGGGAGCGCCTGGCAGCCCTCAAACAATTTGTGGCGGTGCTGGCTCAGGTAAGCCGGGCACCGACCCCTCCCCTGTCTCCAGGACCCCCCACCATGGGCCCCACGGCAAGCCCGGTGCCAGCCTGGAGGAGGTGGCCCATGTCCGTTCCATCACACTGCCGGATAAGCTCCCCCTCCCTGCCTCCCGCCCTTAGCCTGGGAGATTTCCAGCCCCCCTTCTCCCAGTGGGACCCCTGCAAACCTTCGTCATTGTGGAGGCTTTTTTATTTCCCCTTCTCTGTTTAAATTTAATATTTAAAAAATTATTGATCGGGGGGCTGGAGCGATAGCACAGTGGGGAGGGCGTTTGCCTTGCACGTGGCCGACCCGGGTTTGATTCCCAGCATCCCGTATGGTCCCCCAGCACCGCCAGGAGTGATTCCTGAGTGTGAAGGCAGGAGGAACCCCTGAGCATTGCCGGGTGTGACCCAAAAAGCAAAAAAAAAAAAAAATTTATTGATTGAGGGCCAAAGCGGCAAGACAGCAGGGAGGGCGTTTGCCTTGCACATGGCTGGGCACTGGCACCCCAGAGGGTCCCCCAGTCCCACGAGGAGTGAGCCCTGAGCACAGAGCCAGCAGTGAGCCCTGAGCACAGAGCCAGGAGTGAGCCCTGAGCACAGAGCCAGGAGTGAGCCCTGAGCACAGAGCCGGGAGTAATTCCTGAGCACAGAGCCCGGAGTGATTCCTGAGCACAGAGACAGGAGTGAGGCCTGAGCACAGAGCCAGGAGTCGGCCCTGAGCACTGCCGGATGAGGCCCCCAAATACAAACGAACCAAAAAATCCTAGGTCTGGGGCCTGAGAGATAGTACAGGCAGGTGCAGGCCTGGCCACTGGGGGGCGTGTGGTCCCCACTTTCCCTGGTCCATCCACCGAGGTGACTAAGCTGTCCAGGGCCGGGCACACAGTCCCGCCTGCGCCCCTCGCTGACAGGCGAAGGTCTGGGCCCAGAGGGGGGCAGTAAATCACGCTGAGGGTCCAGGAGAGCCCCAGAGGAGAACAGCAGAGGCTTCAGGCGAGGGGTGGAGCCTTCAGTTACCCGCTGGGGCCCTGTCAGCCGCCTCTGTGATTCCGCTTCCCTCAGCGGATCTGCTTTGCTTTGATTTATTTATTTATTTTTTATTTTTTTTTCCTTTTTTGGGGTCCCACCTGGCGATGCTCAGGGGTTACTCCTCGCTTTGCGCTCAGGAATCACTCCCAGCGGTGCTCAGGGGACCCTATGGGATGCTGGGAATCGAACCCGGGTCGGCCGCGTGCAAGGCAAACGCCCTCCCCGCTGTGCTATGGCTCCAGCCCCTGATTTATTTATTTTTTGGCGAGTTTTATTTGGCTTTGGCCTGACCAAAATGCTGAGATGCGTCAGAATGCGTCACCCGCTGAGATGCTTAGGTGCGGCCTTTCCTGGCCCGAGCTCAGGAGTCACTCCCGGCGGGGCTCGGGGGACCCTATGGGATGCCGGGACCGAGCACCCTGCCCCCCCCGCCCCCACTTGGCCGCTTGCAAAGCCGGGCCCTGCCCCCTGCTCTGTGCTTGGACCCCTTTGCTCTTGTTCCTCGAGGTTCTCCCCGACCCCCCACTGCCCCCTTCTCTGAACCCCCTCACCGCCACACCGCACCCCTGCTCCTGTGGGGGCACACGTGCACACACCCATCACACACACTCACCCATCACACACACTCACCTATCATACACACACACGCTCATCATCACGCACATTCACCCATCACATGCATACACGCACGCATCCCCATCACACACGCTTGCCCATCACACACACCATCACACACACACAATCACACACATCACACACAGCATCACACACATGCACCCCCACCACACACACACCCCGTCACACACACGCACCATCACACACACACACCCCCATCACACACACCATCCCACACACAAACAGCATCACACACACCACCACACGCACACCCATCACACACACACCATCACACACACATGCACTATCACACAAACACGCCCCATCACACACACCCACCCCCATCACACACACTCGCCCATCACACACACACCATCACACACATCACACACAGCATCACACACACATGCACCATCACACACATGCACCGTCACACACACACCCCTATCACACACACCATCTCACACACAAACACCATCACACACACAAACACCATCACACACACCACCACACGCACACCCATCACACACACACCATCACACACACATGCACTATCACACAAACACGCCCCATCACACACACCCACCCCCATCACACACACTCTCACCCATCACACACAGACCATCACACACTCACCATCGCACACACGCACCCCATCACACACAACATCACACACAAACACCATCACACACACACACACCACCACACACACACCCATCACACACACACCATCACCACACACACATGCACCATCACACACACCCCATCACACACACACACCATCACACACACATCCACCATCACACAAACACGCACCATCACACATACACACACCTCCCCATCACACACAGTCTCACCCATCACACACACATGCACCATCATACACACACACCATCACACACACATCCACCATCACACAAACACGCACCATCACACATACACACACCTCCCCATCACACACAGTCTCACCCATCACACACACATGCACCATCATACACACACACCATCACACACACACACCCCCCCCACCCTCCCGCACCAGCTGCTCCACTCCCTGGAGCCCTGCGGTTCCGAGCGCTGATACTAATCAGATTTGCGCTGACTTATTGTCCCGGCAGCCTTGCGTGTCCCTGCGCCCTGTCCCCCTAGAAGGGGCTCTTGGCCGGAAGCCCCCGCCCGCCCTTCCTCGCCCCCCATTCCCAGTGAAAGGTGCTTCGACAGCCCCCGGCCTCCCCCCACACCCCTGCCGCCCCCGAGGGCCGGGCCTCCTGCCCCACCCCCGCCTCACAGTCGTGTCCGGCCCGTGTTCGGCTCGTGCTTTTGGGGGGGAGGGGGTCGCTGTTTCACTCCGCTGCATTGCTGCCCCCCAGTACTTCCCGGGCCAGCCCATGGTCCAGAACTTCCTGCACTCCACCCACGACTGGCTCAGACGGCAGCAGAGGCCGAAGATCCCTTACAGCTCCTTTAAGGCGGCTCTGGACGGCAGGAGGGAGGTAGGCGAAGGAGCGGACCCCCCCCCCACACACACGTCATCTCTGCCTGGCCCGGGTGGTCCCCAGAAACGGCCCCACCTAGCAGAGACACACACGGAGGCCAACATCTCCACCCCCGGTCATGCGGCCTGTGAATAGTGGCTGGAAATTAGGTGGATCGTGGGACCCCCGAGGGAGGAGCTATTTTTAGGGGGGTCTGACAACACAGCCTGGCAGAGCCCGGCTGGACGGTGCGGCCTCCTGGTGGCCCCCACCAGCAGGGTCCTGGAGAGCAAGACTTGGGGGCCATCAGGACAGTGCCCGTCACACATGGGGCCTCATGCCTCACGCTTCATGCCAGTGCTCCAGCCCTTTCAGCTGTCTCCCAGCTGCCACGGTGAATCTCAGCTGCTGCCCTCAAGGCCGCGGCCGGGAGCTTGTGGTATGGGGTGCTGTGCGCGGGAAGCCCCTTCACACCCTCCCCCCTTCCCCGTGGCCCGCAGGGCGCCGTGATCACCAAGAAGGTGTCCTGGGTGGGCTGCCAGGGCAGCGAGCCACACCTGCGTGGCTTCCCCTGCTCCCTCTGGCTCCTGTTCCACTTCCTGACGGTGCAGGCCGCGCGGCCTGAGCTGGAGCGCTCCCAGGAACCCGGTGAGACTGCACGGGAGGGTCTGCGTGCGCCCCAGAACCCGGGCAGCATGGGGGGAGGAGGCACAGCAGGAAAGAGAGTGTTGTTGGAATCTTCTGGAAGCCAGGAGACACTTGCTGGGTCCAGATCGGGGCTCAGTCGTGGGGAGTGTGGGTGCCCCTGGGGTTGGAGGGCTCACGGGGTAACAGTGGGGTGTGCAGGGGGACATTCAGTGTCCACCAGCAAGAGGGGGTATTGGGGGGCTGGAGCAATAGCCCAGTGGGGAGAGCCCTGGTGGACGACCCAGGTTCGATCCCCGGCATCCCATAGGGTCCCCCGAGTCCCGCCAGGAGTGATCCCTGAGTGCAGAGCCAGGAGTCAGCCCTGAGCATCGCTGGGTGGGACCCAAGAAGCAAAATAATAATAATAATAATAGTAATAATAATAATAATATTGGGTCCATCACCCAGTTCAGCACCTTGATCAATATCTGGTCCATCACCCAGTTCAGCACCTTGATCAATATCTGGTCCATCACCCAGTTCAGCACCTTGATCAATATCTGGTCCATCACCCAGTTCAGCACCTTGATCAATATCTGATCTATCCATAGGGGCTAGAGCAATAGCACAGCGGGGAGGACGTTGGCCTGGCACGCGGCCGACCCGGGTTCGATCCCCGGCATCCCCTAGGGTCTCCCGAGCACCGCCAGGAGTGATCCCTGGGTGCAGAGCCGGGAGTCAGCCCTGAGCATGGCCGGGTGTGGCCCCAAAGGAAAAATTAAAAGGAGGGAATGTTGGGGGGCCCCTGCTAACGCTGTCTCAGGGCTGGGGGAGAAAGGGCGCAAGCTTAGGAGGTCACTAGCAGTCACTGAGGAGTACCCGGGTGGGGCGCACCCCAGGCTGGGGTGGGATGCTGGACCAGCTCTTCCACATCCTCCCCGCGTGGACAGCCTTTGGACCTGGAACCGGCAGAGAAGGGGCACCGGGGCGGGAGGGTGGCCGGGCCGGCCTGACTCATGTCCCCCCCATGTCCTGCCCACGTCCTGCCCACAGCCAAGGCCCAGGAGGTGCTGCAGGCCATCCGCGCCTACGTGCGCTTCTTCTTCGGCTGCCGGGAGTGCGCCAACCACTTCGAGCAGATGGCGGCCGCCTCCATGCACAAGGTGGACAGCCGCGACGCCGCCGTGCTCTGGCTCTGGTCAGGGCACAACCGCGTGAACACGCGCCTTGCAGGTAAGACCCCCGCCAGACCCTGCCGCCACCCACCCAGGGCAGCACCGGGCACCCCAGGTCCCCTCACACCCAGCGATGCTCAGGGCTGACTCCTAGCTCTGCACTCAGGAATCACTCTTGGTGGTGCTCGGGGGACCCTAGGGGATGCTGGGAATCGAACCCAGATCGGCTGTGTGCAAGGCAAACGCCTACCCGCTGTGCTATTGCTCCAGCCCCTATTGTTTGACTTTTTGGGTCACACCCAGTGATGCTCAGGGCTGACTCCTGGCCCTGCACTCAGGAATCACTCCTGGAGGTGCTCAGGGGACCCTAGGGGATGCTGGGGATCGAACCCGGGGTTGCCACATGCACAGCAAAACCCTCCCTGCTGTACTTTCTCACGGAGGCCCAAGCTTATAGTATTTTTGTTTGTTTGTTTGCTTGTTTTGTTTTTTGGGTCACACCCAGAGATGTTCAGGGGTTCCTCCTGGCTCTGCACTCAGGAATTACGCCTGGCGGTGCTTGAGAGACCCTATGGGATGCCGGGGATCGAACCTGGTCGGCCACATGCCAGGCCAACATCCTCCTTGCTGTGCTATCGCTCCAGCCCCCACTTCCTGTTTTCTCTTTTTTTTTTTCCTTTTTGGGTCCCACCCAGCGATGCTCAGGGCTGACTCCTGGCTCTGCACTCAGGAATCACTCCTGGCGGTGCTCGTGGGACCCTATGGGATGCTGGGCATCGAACCCGGGTCGACCGTGTGTAAGGCAAATGCCCTCCCCGCTGTGCTATCTCTCCAGTCCCCTTATTATTTATTTTTTGGGCCACAGAATTTTTGGCGACAGAGAGCGGAATGTTTTTTTCTTTTGGGCCCCACCCAACGATGCTCAGGGCTGACTCCCGGCTCTGCACTCAGGAATCACTCCTGGCGGTGCTCGGGGGACCCTATGGGATGCCGGGGATCGAACCCGGGTCGGCCGCGTGCCAGGCCAATGCCCTCCCCACTGTGCTATCGCTCCAGCCCATCCCCAGTTTCTGACACCCTCCCGGAAGTCCCCAGAGCCTGGCGTTGGGGCGGGCCTTGGTGTCCTACAGCCCTGCCCAGCAGTCTGTGTGTGTTTGTGTGTGTGTGTGTGTCCCCGCAGGTGCCCCCAGCGAGGACCCCTACTTCCCCAAGGTGCAGTGGCCGCCCCGGGAGCTGTGTGCAGCCTGCCACAACGAGCTCCAAGGTGACATGCCCGTGTGGGACCTCACCGACACGCTCCGCTTCCTCAAGACCCACTTCTCCTGGGCCAACCTGGTGCTGGGCCACCCGGGCACCGGGCCCCGCGGCAGTGGTCTGCAGTGGATGGCAGCGGCCCCCAGCGCCACCGAACTGCCACCCGCCAACTCCACCCGGGTCCTGGGGCCAGCAGAGATCACGGCCCTCCTGGAGCTGCTGGCTGAGATGGGGCCCGAACCCCCAGTGGCCACCCAGCCGGAGACAGCGACCCTCGTGCACCCCACGGAACCCCCGGAGGAGAAACCCGGGGTGTCCCGCGGGCTCCGGCACTTGAGCAAGCGAGACACGGGGGTCGCGGGGCTGGGCCCCGTCCCCCACGGGCACCCCGCGGCCGCGCCCCAGCGGGGCGGCGGTCAGTGGCTGCAGTTACTCGAGGGAAACTGGTCCCATCTGGATGTCAGCCTCTGCGTGGTCCTATACTCTGTGTCCTTCCTGGGCCTGCTGGTCATGTACACCTACTTCCGGGTCAGGATGAGGTCCCTGAAGGGCCTGGCTGGCCACCCCCTGGCCTGAGTGCCCTCCCCGGAAGCCACCATCCACGTCTACATCCGATCTCGTGTGCCCCCAATGCACTCCCCATCACCCTCTCTCTCCCTGACTTTGCCCCTTGTTCAGAAAGTTCTGGAATATTGTTCGCACCTCCCGCCTTCTGCAAAGTGGGCGTGTCCCATAGACGCTGGGGTGGGCTGGGGGGGTCCAGTCCTGTCTCTCCCTGGCCTGAGTTGTTGGTGGGGGGACACACAGCCTTGGGCCGTGGGATGCAGGGGTGAGGCCCGGCTCTCAGCATCCGATCCCCCACTTGGCCCTAAGGGCAACATGGGAGACAGATTTGAGGGTCCCGGGGGCTGGCGCAGGAGACCCCCTGGCAAGTTAGGGCTCTGTCCATCCCAGCCCTCCAGACAAGCGGACACTGTGGTGCCAGAGAAGGTGACACCCCTCATTCCAACCCCAGATCTCTCATTCTTCTCCACCGGAAACTTGGCTTCCGGGTGAACCTGGGGTCCCAGCTGGTCTCCGGGGAGGCTCGGAGTCCTACAGGAGCGTTGGAGGGTGACAGCGGGTGGAGGGGGCCTGGGTGGTAACTGTGTGGAATGGGAAGGGGAGCCGGGGTGTTGGGCCAAGGCTCCGGGCTTAGCTCTGAGTGATAACGGGGGGCGGGGCACCTCTGAGGGGGGCTGAGCCCGTCTTGACCCAGCGTCGCCATCTGGGACTTTGTCTGTGGGGTCGCCAGGGCCCCATAGATGCTGGCTGTGCGTGTGAAGGCTGCCGGCCTGGCGGAGGGACCACCTCCCCTGGGAAGGGGGGTACCCCCACCCCCGGCCGGGCACCCCGGATGCATTCCTAGTACCCACCCCAAGGCTTGGCAGGGTGGCCGAATAAATTATTTTTGTTAAGGCAAGGACTAATGTGCTCTAGTCTGCCTGTCTGTCTGTCTGTCTGGTGGAGCGGCGGGGGGGGGTGGGTCTTGCCGGCTGTGCTGGGGGGCCGGGCCAGGTCAGGGATGCAACCGCGTGCAAAACCCACACTCACCCGTTGTCCCTAACAGCACACCCCAGGACTCCCTCCCAGGCACCCAGCACCCCGAAGTCCCTCTGGCCAGCGTCCCTGAGGGCCTGTGTCCCCCTATCCTCCCCCGCGCTGGGCAGCTCAGAGGCCGAATCAGCCGGATTAGAAGCCGCCCCTAATCCGCTCCCAGCCGCGCGCAGAGCCACTGATAATGAACTTGGTTAAGAGGCAGCCCAGGCCTTATCCGATTGTGGGGGCCTCCCTCTGTGCGGTGGCCGGCCGGCTGGAGCAGAGCAGATGGGGGTACCAGGAGAGGACAGTCCCCCCTTCTGTGCTGGGCCCCCCCAGAGGCCTCCGGCTGGCGCCCTTCTGGGAATCCCCATTCCCCCCTCCGCGTCCTGGGCCGACTCTCAGGCTCTCCCGGAGATCAACCCAGCCCAGGAGGGTCCCACGGCGCCCCCCCACCTGTCAAGCTCAGCCAACCCTGGGCCCTGCGAGGACCCACCCACAGCCCCACCCACGGCCCCCCGGGGCCCAGCCTGGCAGAGACTCCCCGGCCTGTCCCGGGCTCTGATTGATAAACAAGCCCCCCGCCCCCTGCACGCGGCTGCCTTTCACCTTGATTTCCCAGGGGTCCCTCGGCAGCTCGATGAAGCGGCTTCGCCCACCAGCTGCTCCCGTTTTCCACCTGGCCCGCCGGAGGGCGGGGAGACGAGGCGAAGGTCCCCGCCACTTTGGGTTCTTGGGGTGCAGGGGCTCCCAAACAAAGGGTCCCCTGAGTTTGCGACTCAGCCGGGGTGTGACCCCAGGGACTCAGGGAAGCAACTGGGGGAGATCCGTGAGAGCCTTGGAGGAAAGCGGGGTGAGCCGGGGAAAGACGGGGAAGCATGGGAGGCCCAGAAGAGGAGGAGGAGGAAGAAGAGGAGGAGGAGGAGGAGAAGGAAAAGGAGGAGAAGGAGCTTGAAGAGGAGGAGGAAGAAGAGGAGGAGGAGGGGGAGGAAGAAGAGGAGGAGGAAGAAGAGGAGGAGGGGAGGAAGAAGAGGAGGAGGAGGAGGAAGAAGAGGAGGAGGAGCGGGAGGAAGAAAAGGAGGAGCAAGAGGAGGAAGAGGAGGAGGAGGAGCAAGAGGAGGAAGAGGAGGAGGAGGAGGAAGAAGAGGAGGAGGAGGAAGAAGAGGAGGAGGAGGAAAAGGAGGAGGAGAAGGAGCTTGAAGAGGAGGAGGAAGAAGAGGAGGAGGAGGGGGGAGGAAGAAGAGGAGGAGGAGGAGGAGGAAGAGGAGGAGGAAGAAGAGGAGGAGGAGGAGCAAGAGGAGGAGGAGGAAGAAGAGGAGGAGGAGCGGGAGGAAGAAGAGGAGGAGCAAGAGGAGGAAGAGGAGGAGGAGGAGCAAGAGGAGGAAGAGGAGGAGGAGGAGGAAGAAGAGGAGGAGGAGGAAGAAGAGGAGGAGGAGGAAAAGGAGGAGGAGAAGGAGCTTGAAGAGGAGAGGAAGAAGAGGAGGAGGAGGGGGAGGAAGAAGAGGAGGAGGAGGAGGAGGAAGAGGAGGAGGAGGAGGAAGAGGAGGAGGAGGAAGAGGAGGAGGAGGAGCACAGAGGCAGGGCTCAGGGCAGCCCAGTAAAACTCAGCCCAGTTCTCGAAGCACAAGTCAGAGCGGGCAGGGGACGGGATCTTGGCGGCTTCTAATCCAGACCAAAGAGAATCGCCCCATCTGGGAGGGAGGGTGCGGGGGGCGGGAGTCCCCAGGGCAGCTGCTAGGGACAGAAACAGCTGTGGGCTGGGGACAACCCCGAGGGCCCTCACCTTCCACGGCCCTAGGCGCCCCGGGACCTGCCCTCTGGGTGCGGGCTGAGCTCGGGTGTGGGGCCCCCACAGATGGGGGGGAGGCAGTGTGGTTCTCCTCTGGCCTGACATGAGCCCGGGGCTGTGGGAGGCCGTCCACTATGTGTTGGGGACCCCAGAAACAGTTTCATGCCAGAGCCATGGGAGAGACACATTTCTGAAGGGTAGATACAGGCCTGCAGGTGTAGATACAGTACCACGGGGGAGACACAGTCCCACAGGGAGACACAGTTCCACAGGGAGACACAGTCTCACAGGGAGACACAATCCCACAGAGGGAGACACAGCCCCACGGGGAGACACAGTCACACAGAGGGAGACACAGTCCCACGGGGAGACACAGTCTCACAGGGGGAGACACAGTCTCATGGGCAGACATAGTTCCACAGGGAGACACAGTCCCATGGGGGAGAGACACAGTCTCACAGGGAGACACAGTTCCACAGGAAGACACAGTCCCACAGGGAGACACAATCCCACAGGGGGAGACACAGCCCCACGAGGAGACACAGTCCCACAGGGGAGACACAATCCCACAGGGGGAGACACAGCCCCACGGGGAGACACAGTCACACAGAGGGAGACACAGTCCCCCGGGGAGACACAGTCTCACGGGGGGGACACAGTCTCACAGGGAGACACAGTTCCACAGGAAGACACAGTCCCACTGGGAGAGACACAGTCCCACAGGGAGACACAATCCCACAGAGGGAGACACAGCCCCACGGGGAGACACAATCACACAGAGGGAGACACAGTCCCACGGGGAGACACAGTCTCACAGGGGGAGACACAGTCTCATGGGCAGACATAGTTCCACAGGGAGACACAATCCCACAGGGGGAGACACAGCCCCATGGAGAGACACAGTCACACAGAGGGAGACACAGTCTCACGGGGGGGACACAGTCTCACAGGGAGACACAGTTCCATAGGAAGACACAGTCCCACTGGGGGAGACACAGTCCCACAGGGAGACACAATCCCACAGAGGGAGACACAGCCCCACGGGGAGACACAGTCACACAGAGGGAGACACAGTCCCACGGGGAGACACAGTCTCACAGGGAGACATTGTCCCTCAGGGGAGACACAGTTCCATAGGGCAGACAACAACCTCACAGTGAGACACAGTCCTCAAGTGCAGACAGCACCTGGGAATTGGTTTGGGCCCCAAGCCTTGGCACTTCCGTTGAGCGTGCGGGTGATGTGGGAGGCGGTGCAGCAGGGGTCAGTGTGCAGGGTCTGTCTGCAGGGGCCCCATCCCACCCCTCCCCTGCCCGCTGTGGAAGGCTCTGGGCCTGAGTTCACCGCCCCCCCCCTTCCCGTCCCCGGCTCGCTCGTCTCAGCCACGTGGGCGCGTAATGAAGTCTCGGGGGCCGGAGTCCATAACGCCAGGCCCCATTAGGGCTGCCGGGAAGGGGCCCTGACAGCCGCTGACCACAGCCATCAGTCCCTCAGCCTGAGCGGCCCTGGCGGCAGCAGCTGTTTAGGGCACCCCTAAGCACGGGAGGGGCTCCCCCCTCCTGGGACTGGGCCTGAAACCTTCTTCCTCAAGGGGAGGCACAATCCCACAGGGAGACTGTGTCTCCCCTGAGGGACTGTGTTTCACCCTGTGGGACTGTCTCCCTGTGGAACTGTGTCTCCCCCTGCGGAACTGGATTCCAATCCCGTGTGATTGCCAAGGGCGGGGTGGCCTTCACAGACAGATGGACTTGATACGCCACATCCTCCCCCATATTCCAGAGTCCCCTGGGCCCCTTCACTCCCCACCTGGAACCTTCATTGTGGGCAGAAGCGGGAGTTCAGCCTCTCACCCCACACACCGTCACATGCTGACCCTGACCCTGAATACGGGACAGCGCAGGGCTGCGGGGGGGTGGGGGGCGACCCCAGGTCAATGCCCAGCTTGGCTGGGCCTCACCCACACGCCCTCCCCACCCCCCCACTTCTTCCTCCCCCTCCTTTGGGGTTTTCCCGTTGGACTATTCCCTCTTTCGCCCCTCCCCGGAACACCAGCTTTCCTTGGGGGGTGTGGGACAGGTCGTGTACACTCAGCATTTATGCGTTTGCTGGTGTCACCTGCCACCGTGTTAGGGTATAGGACCAGCCAGGTAGCTTGCTGCTGGGGGCTGCTGGGGGGGGGGGGGGTTCTGGCATCCTGGGAGCAAACTCGGGGCCTTTGCATGTGCTGCGGCCCCCTGGACCAGCTCCTCAGAACCAGGGTGTTCGTGCTGGAGCCATAGCACAGCGGGGAGGGCGTTGGCCTGGAACGCAGCCGACCCGAGTTCGATCCCCGGCATCCCATAGGGTTCCCCGAGCACTGCCAGGAGTGACTCCTGAGTGCAGAGCCAGGAGTCAGCCCTGAGCATCACAGAGAGAGAGAGAGGGAGAGAGAGAGAGAGAGAGAGAGAGAGAGAGAGAGAGAGAGAGAGAGAGAGAGAGAGAGAGAGAGAGAGAGAGAGAGAGAGAGAGAGAGAGAGAGAGAGAGAGAGAGCTGGTGGGCTGGAGCAATAGCACAGTGGGGAGAGTGTTGGCCTGGCACACGGCCGACCCGGGTTCGATCCCCGGCATCCCCTAGGGTCCCCCCAAGCACTGCCAGGAGTGATTCCTGAATGCCGAGTCAGAAGGAACCCCTGAGCATCGCTGGGTGGGACCCAAAAGAAAAAAAAAAGAACCAGGGTGCTAAGATTATTATTTTTTTAAATTTTATTTATTTATTTTTTGCTTTTTTTGGGTCCCACCCGGCGATACTCAGGGCTGACTCCCGGCTCTGCACCCAGGAATCACTCCTGGCGGTGCTCAGGGGACCCTAGGGGATGCCAGGAATCGAACCTGGGTCGGCCACGTACAAGTCCAACGCCTTCCTCGTTGTGCTATCGCTCCAGCCCTCCAGGGTGCTAAGATTAGGGGGTCTGGAATCCAGCCCCTTCTGCCGGTGTAGACGGTGTGAATGCACCACCAGCAGCTCAGAAGGGCCCAGTGCTGCCTGGTCAGTCTGGGTCACTCGGGCCCAAGGCCGGGTTGGGGTTGAGCCCTGGGGGTCCCACAGGCAAAGGTGGTTCCGAGACCC